AGAACTAAATTGGTCGAGGCAGATAGCCCTTTCTTGAATCCATGCTGACATGGCACGATGACATTGTCCAAAGAGAAAGAGGGTCTATGAAGTAGAATTGCTTGAAATAGCTTAGCCAGTGTAGGTTGTATCACCACTGGACGATAATTCTTGACATCAGATGGGCCACCTTTCTTGAAAGTTGGTAGCACACATCCATTTATTTTTAAGAACCTGAGGGAACTTTCCAAGCTTCATCAATGGGTTGAAATACATATGTGGAGCAATCACACTGCAACAGTATTTCAGTATTGCTAGAGGAATGCCATCCGGGCCAGATCCATTCCTTGCATCCAGATGAGATAAGCGCTCCTCAACTTCACGACACGTAACATGAAATTCAGTCAAGCAGAGTCAAAGTCTGATTTGAAGGTAAATGTATCCACTGACTCTTGATATGCAGATTAAAAAAAGGTACGGAAAACATTACACATCTCCTCAGGGTTTTAAGTGACATCATCGCCGAGTCGTACTATGGTTGGAGTTGGCTGTCTTCCTTTGGTTCTATTAAAAATACCCCAAAAAGCCTTAATATATATCATTTACTCTGTTGATATAGTGTTAATAGCAAGCCTGATACATGATCTTGCACCGACTATGGACATTACAGAACTATGTATACGTGTTCATTCGAGTACTGTTTGTATCGCTTTTGTAGACTCATCTAAAAAAAAACATGGGATTTTACTTCTCTTGGTGCTCTTGAGGGGAGGAACACATCCTCACGATCTCTGAAATATATTTACACAGATCTGCAAATTCTTGGTCAACATCACTAGCAGGGTAAGGGGTAATCTCTGAATAAGCTAAAAATTCCCCTGGGAATTGCATCTTTTTAAGTCAGGGACCATTGTAACATTGACACGACAATTTGTACAAGTAGTTTCAAGTTTTATCTCCAAAGGTGAATGATGCTCATTTAAAATCAGGCTATGCTGCTGTAAGAGAAAAAAAGACGGCAGATCTCGTGGACAACATTGACGGCCCAAGAGCAAGAAGAGGGTTCCATGTCATGCCATTTTGCATATGGCAGATTGAAGTCACCAGCCAGTAAGACGTTTTTTAGTGGATTTGTCAAGCATGATCTCCTCAAAAGTTGAACAGAATTCTAAGTACTGGGTGGCAGGACGATTTGGATGCAAAAATACTCCACCTGCAATAAGTGTCTGAAGAGGTAGCTTAACCGCACCGAAAACGCACTCAGTAGAGCAATTTTATATGCATTTATTTGTATTCACCTATGCTTTTAATTAATATTATCAACTTACTCCTTGCGGGCTGACCCCCCTTGGGGGGGAAAACGTCAAGAAGTACTTTATAAAGTACTATTTTAGGTCCAGTATTGATGTGTGAAGTTGCAGTCTTCTAATGCAATACGTGCAGGAAAAACAAAGAGCGGGGACTTAAGATACACGGACCTATTGCATACAGGAACTAATTAAATTTATAACTTTAACAGTTTCTATCTTCAAAACTATTTAAGTTACTTTAGAGATTTTTATCTCATTTTTTAGCAAATTTAATTACAAACAAAATATATCTTAATAACAGATACGTACCATTGACCATTTTGGTGATATATAGCAAAAACTACATGTAGCGTAGAAGAATATATCAAATTTTCAACTTTAACAGTTTATATCTTAAAGACTATTTAAGTTATAGAAATGGTTTGTATCTCATTTTAAAACAAATTTAATTGTGAACAAAACATGTTATATACAAAATGGCGTAAATGTGTCCTTTTGGGTGATATTAAGCCATTTTCAATGAATAGTTCAATTACTCTAAAGAAAACAAAGATGGCGTCGTATTTCAAGATGGCGGACCTAAAAATCGGGCACCCCCCCATAAATTGTTTGTATTTAGGGTATGGAATAAATGTGCAAAAGCTGCAGCTTTAATCCATCAGGTCACGATCATTTCGCTAAGCCACCACACTATTATAACAGATGAACTCAAATTCAATTTCAAAGTACAAATCAATTAAATTTTAATTGATACCATTAGAGTAAATTTTTCTCAATACCAAGAGAGTAGTGTTGCAAAAGTAAGGACAACACAATTTTATGGAATAAATAGATCATTAATATTAAGTTTGCATAAAAGGTGGTATGCATTTGCCGTACATTATTGTAATTTACCATGATACAAGTCCACACTAATATTTTGTTTTAACAAAAGAAAAAAATTATTGAACAATATTTTTTCGCTAAAAACCGATTTTTTGCTTCATAAAGGAAACCATAAATATTTGTTTACAAATTTTAAATGTCACTAAGAAAAATAAGATTCGGTAAGTATGGGAATTAACCTGCTATAATAACATGATAGTACTCGTATATTCAATTTTTGGTGTCGCCTGTAGTTTATGATTATTAAGTTTTACCTTCCTATTTTCCTCAAATGCAAATTGATGGTTTGCATCAACTTGGCCAAAATTGACTTACTATTTTGAAAGTACCGAAAATAATAGAATATTGCAGTGCGATGCACTGTTAGTCCATGTCTGAAGAAGATCTAAATTTGCAATAGTACAGGTTGCACTTTTGGTACAGGCTACAGGTTATGAACAATACTAACCATCACGATGCCAACAAACACACACACGGATAGGATCAATTTAAATGAGATGAAAGAAGAAAACAGCTGATTTCAACTGTATTGCGATGTAAAGAAACAGTAGTATGGTAGTATCTGTAGGGTATTTACTCAAGGGAGGTATAGAAGAGCCTTCGATGACGTCAGCTGTCATATCTCTTCTCTTGAGGGGAACCAGGGAACACAATGACCGCAACGATACTGTGTATTTGCCTGGCTGATAATCGGAACGTGCCGGGTTAGAATCCCGCTGGTAGCACTAACTTTTTGTCTAACATGTTTTTCATTATCAGCAAGTTTGGTTGGTTTGGTTTAGTTTATGACAGTTTAATTTTATAATTAAAACATTATAACATTAAATTTAAGCCATTTAAAGTTAGATTCTAATAAAATTGCAACGAAAAAGTAGAACCACTATTTAAGACCACTTTGCACTTTATTAATGAACGCTGCTGACGTTATTCTGAAGCAAAATAGTGGATTAAAATTCAACAGTGTATACTATTGAAATGATTGTAATATGAGGTTGTGGTGTTTAGATTTCTTAGAGTTCTCCAATACAACATTGAGTATGGAAAGATATTAAATGTATTTGTTTTTACATAAATAGATTAATCTGTAGATATATAAAAATACCCCCTTCCGCAGCAAACCTGCAGACTAAGCGAATTTATATTTGCCTGATTGGATTTACACTAAAATGACCTCATAAAAATATCACATTCACTCCCTATATTTAAATAACATTAGTTTATCGAGTACTTAGGTTGCTGCAACAGAAAGGGTAAAAAGGTGTTTTTTTTTTATTTTAATAGTTTAGTATGAAATGAATGCATTTTCCAAATTTGATCAAAATATGTTAATAAACAAGCAAATTACAACAGTTCACTTATCTTACTAATAAAATGTGAAAGTTCGTGTGTTTTGTTTGTTTGTTTGTGTGTTTGTTTGTTTGTTTGAAGTTCAATCACGCATAAACCACTGGACGGATTGGGCTGAAATTTGACATGATGATAGCTCACATTTCCGATTAACATATAGGCATATTCTTATCTCAAAAATCCTTTCGAGCTTCGCCCCAGTGGCTCTCTAGTTCCCCATGTTAACCTTATGAGTACCGGTATTCATATTTAAAGGGAATTAAAGAATTTAGTCAGCTGTTTTAACTAAAAATGTTGGTTCCATGATATAAAGCATTAAAAATTTATAAGATATACCAACAGGGTGCAGCACTATAATTTTTTAGCATTTATGTAAACAGCTAATTTGAACTAAGCAACAACAAAAAACTGTGATACGCAATGAGAACTGTCAAAGTAGGATTGTTTACATTTATGTTTTTAATTTCATGAATAATTTGTGATTTTTTGTGACTTCGTAATAATTTATTTTCTTTGTTGTTTAGGTGAAGTGCTAGAACATTATGGCTATGGTAGATGTGTAATACCATTAGTATACCGTCAATTTAAAGAAGCAAATTTTATCAAACTTTGTCCTCCCCCTTTGCAAACGCAAAGCTTGAGTATAACTGCATGTTATACTTTTATGCCAACCCCGTACGAAGGACGGGTACTCTGCTAGTTCTCCATAAGAATAACATGGGAATTTTAAATTTACAGTTTTTTGGAATTTTCTCCGTAACCATTAGGCGCATAATAACACTTCAATATACTAAATTATTTGGTTTTTTTTTAAGCTCTACAAAATAGTTTGGAAAGAAAATGCTAAATTTAAATAAAGAATTTGCTAAATTCTTCCCACAAGTTTTTAGGGTCAAAATGGGAAAACCCAATTTTTACCCCATAAAACCCTCCATAAACCCCTGTCCTGTTCCCATAGTCCGATCATGCTGGTTCGCGAACTCGTTCAAATAAACGTAGTTTTACACGTTTGTACCAAAATTTCATCAAAATAGGATGATTTTTGGTCAAGTTATCACGCTAACGGACACACACATATATATATATATATGGCCTTAGTGCCAAAATACGTATCAGTTTAAATAAAAAATGAATTTCAGGGTACTCTGGTTTTTATTATTTTGCTTATCAACATAAATAAATATATATATACAAATATATATATGAATTTGAATGGATGGTGTTTTTGGCCTCTAGGGAGCTCAAAACGAAAAAGTAAATCGGTCCCGGGTCCAGTTCTTACCATGAGTACTAACGGTAATAGCTTATTCCCTATATGGGAAATTCGCTAAAAACGCCAAACTTAGCTTTTTTGACTGTGCGTATAGAAATATGACTTAAATGTGCTTGAATAAAAAGACATTTCTTTAGATAAAAATCTTCAGCCCATTTCAAATTAATTTTCATAGTACCAGATATGACACAAATAAATTAACATACCTGGCTTTTGGCTGCATCGCCGATGAGCCTCTCGCAGTCTGTAAAGGCCACATAGCTAGGGGTTGTTCTGTTTCCCTGGTCGTTGGCTATAATCTCCACTTTACCATGCTGCCAGACACCGACGCACGAGTACGTCGTCCCCAGGTCAATTCCTACTGCCGGCACTTTGGGTCCCATAACTGCTAACAAGCCTGCCTAACGTGAGTACTCGACCTACCGCTACAGAAGGCTGTGGAATAGTGGCGCGAGCGCGGGAGAGTTGTATTTCTCTGGACCTGCCTCCCCCACTTCACCTGCCACTCTGCCAGCCCACACATGACAGCAATGAAGCAAGCATGGGCACTTGGCAGAGGGCAGACGACACAACATTAACATAACCTAAACAGAAAGAATTACATATTACATGATGGACGGAGACGGAATAGCCTACCGAATAGTAAAGTAAATAGAAAATAACCAATAACCACAATAGATATATGCTGAATTTAATTTGCAGACCTTTATTCAACATTGCCGATCGTCGTGTTTCGTATATTTTACAGTAACTGTCGGTTGTTCGGTTGGTCAAGCTAAATTAACAAGTATGAAGTGTCCCTACTCCCTTTTCAGAAGAGGGTAAAAGTTCGGTTGGTCAAGCTAAATTAACAAGTATGAAGTGTCCCTACTCCCTTTTCAGAAGAGAAGTTTTAAAAAGGTAAAATTAAAATAAGCCTTTAGGCTAATAAAAATCTTAATATTAAACTTAGGGCTAGTGTTATTTCCTATAGTTATTAAATAATGTTTTTCGTGTTATAGGTGAGTACAATCGTATTATTCTTTAGGTAGTTCCCCTACTAGTGGGTAGGGTAAACAGTGGGTAGGGTAACAAAACAATAAAATAACAATGACAAATAACAATAACAAATAAAAAATTAAATAGCCTGTATATCACTAAAGCATTGGCTAGGCCTAGCCAATGCTTTAGTGGTAGGCCTATATATTTTATTTGTTTACTTTACAATCTGTTCTATAACTGTATCGAACAATAAGAAGAATGAACATCAAGTATTTGGGCATTAAAATAGAAAGGTAACGTCATACAGAATGACGCTAAAGGTATCAATACGTAAATTTGACATGGCCTACGTAGGAATTTCATACAGTAAGGAATCGTCATACAGTGTGATGCTTAGGGTATCAATACGTAATTTTGACGTAATGCCGGCCATTTTACTATACCCAAAGGGTATTGACCTGTAAGTTTGAGGTATGCGTTCCAAGAAGCCAACTAGCAAGGAACATAAAGGAACACACTATGGCCCAACCAAGGCAACCATTTCAAGGCAAATTACTGCTGAGAGCACTGCTTGATAGAGGGTAGGGTATATGGTTGAGGGGGTGCGACGCAAAAAATAACTTGCCCTACATCAAATTTATGTGCGATACCCATCTAGGGTAGGTAACAAACATTATTTTAAAACGAACCACTTCTCACCAAATTAAAGGGCAGGTTCCAGAATTGAGGGTCTCTTAAGTTTTTAATTTTTTAACCGTAATTTTACAGCAATGGGGGTTTTACCATTTTGTTTAGAAATTAATAGAGCATTATAATATACTAAATTTGAATCAAAATCGTTAACCTAGGGCCGTTTGTTTGAAAATCAGATTTTTCCGGTACCTATTAGGTTTTTTGGGGAAAATTTCCATTAAACTTTAAATAAAAATTACAAAAAGTGAAATAAGTCTACCGAGAAAATTTACCATAGATCCCACATAAGGATATGGATCTTGCATATGGATTTAGTACCCACATAAGTTACCAAATTTCATTTACGAACCACAGTCATGTTCTGTAGCGCTGTACACATCCACACATACAGACACACACAAAACAAATACATCACTTCAAAAGCCACTTCTTGGGTTCAGGGGGCCCGAAACGGATATATCCAACCAAAACCTAAACTCAAAAATTTGACAAACTTACAACAATATGGTATATTCTCCATAAATTATATTATCCCACTTAGGCCTGTACGAATATAAAGGGAGACAGTAAAAAGAGCCAGAGGACACCCCCTGAAGAAATCTCAGATTCAATTAGATTTAGGTAAAAAGTATATCGTATTATTTAATTTGGAAAGTCGTATTTTGAAGGACTTCATTTTCCCTTTTTTAATCTCACGTTAAAACAATTGATATACGGTAATTAAGACGTTACCGTAACTTTTTTTCTAAATGCTTTGATAAGTAAATGGTCCAACATTTGTAATTTTGTAGTTCGGACAAGATGGGAATGTCAAAAGCAGGAACTAAAAATCACTTCACTTGGCAAACAACCATGGATATTTCGGTAAAATTACAACATGCTGTCTTTGTAAGCGTCTGACAAAACTAATTTTGTACGAGTGGAAGAGTATGGATTGAAAATTTAAATAAAGTAGCCGCCCACAGGTTTAACAACTATCTACACAAACAGTAGGGCCTACTGTATAAGTTTAAATCTTATTTGGATCTGAAATAAATTAACTGTATTTGCCACACTACTCTGTTTTAATGGAATTTCCACTCATGGTTTTAGTCCTAAAAACAGCTGTTTACTACGCTGATCTTTGACCAGGATTTTTCCCCCGTCTAAATTTTTATATTGCCCCTTAACAGTAGAAAATGTTATGCTGTTAATGAATTTATAATCACATTGCTTAGTTTTTTTATTAATACAAAACCAATTTGTTAGATTTCTGCGTTATGTCATTGACTATATAGTCAATGGTTATGTGTGCGTGGGTTGACGCTTTTCAACAAGCTACACCACACTGCACGATGCCGCGTTCAGTGTGTTTGTAGCCTACCCTTAAGCTGAATATGAAAAGAATGGAATGGATAATCTGTGTGGCCTTGTTACTATATTCTGTTCACAAAATCTAGGCGGTTTTAGGGGAAGAAATCTATCCTCTTCACTTGACCCTTACCTTTAAAACTAGTGTACCTGTTGCTCGAATTCGAGCAATTGCATTACAGTTGACTCAAAGATTATGGATATACTCACAATCTACACAACAGTTAGATATAATCAAAATCTTTTGTAAATATCTTATCTTTTTTCAAAATGCTGATCTTGTTTTTTTAGTGTTTTCTACAAATTTTTCCCTCTCATAGTCGCATTAGGTTGTCTATTAACGATTATAAATGAAAAAAAAAACATTATTTCTAATTCTTCTACTTGGTTGTGTTCTATGACTTTTTCTATGTTTCCATTGTTTGCAAATCGGTTATTTCAATGATTGCTCAAGAAATGTAGAACAGTCTTAATTCAGTTTTATTTTTAAAATTATCAAATTGTCCAGGATTTCTCACTCTTTTCCATTCTATACGCCAACCCAAGTTTCGTCTACAGATGCAATATGCCAACGAATATCACCTACGTACAATCTCCAAGAAGTGGTAAAAAAGGAAAAATCCAACCAATACAATAGATATAATGTTATTCTTAGGTTGTCGGTTACTCATCACTAAAATAAATGGCTGCACTTTACTTGACGTCCTACACTCATTCGATTGTTTTTTCGATTCGATATTTTCATTCGATTGTTTCATTCGATATATCGTTTGGTTAGTTAGGTTAGGTTAACCTTACCTAACTAACCAAACGATATATCGAATGAAGCAATCGATTAATCGATATATCGATCGATATTTTCATTCGAATGAGTGTAGGACGTCAAGTAAAGTGCAGCCAAATAAATTACTCACAATTTATTAAAAAATGTCGAGGTATATTTCAAGTTTACATCAAAACTCATCTTCAGCCTCTAGTAACAACATAGCCTATCAAGTAAATAAACTATGATTTATAATGTTTGTTTATAAATTAATTAACATATGTTTGAATTATTTTAAAATTAAGTTAGTAGGAAAAAAAATTGTTGTATATGTATATATTATGTAGATGTCACAGTTAATTTATTCAACTATGATCTACCAGGAAGCAGACTGGAAATTAAGAAATCTTAAAGAAGCTGCTTGCATGGCGGTTGATAAAAGAAGCATATCCCAACCTAGTGCTACAATCAGCCCTATGTTTATACCTTTAATCCGAGAAGAGGTTGAGAACAAAATTAAAATTGGAAAAACAATAATAAATTAACTGTGACATCTACATAATATATACATATACAACATTTTTTTCCTACTAACTTAATTTTAAAATAATTCAAACATATGTTAATTAATTTATAAACAAACATTATAAATCATAGTTTACTAGCTGTACCCGCGGGCTTTGCCGCGCACACGGTCGACTAAAAAATCGGCCAGTCGCTTGTTGTTCTCCACAGGAGTCAGTGAACTTCAGTGTGAGTTGTGTTGTTTTCTTTGCTAAAAAAGGCCACAGCTGTTATGATAAAAACTGAAACTTTCAACAGACATTCTATAGTAATCAAATAACTTTTTACCGTCATCACGTAAAGTGTACCTATAGTTTCTAAAACTGTCGATTTAAAAGTATCTGACTTACTATCGGATGAACCCAATATTTAATTGTCTTCTTTTTTTCTTTGGTCTAGTTAGAAGAGCACAAACACAGGTTTATTCAACAAAGTCCATTTTAAACGCACTCAAAAAATCAATTTCTCGACTAAAAAATCGCCACGTGTGCGCCTAGACATAAATCAAAGGCGATTTATTTTTGGCCGATTTTTTAATCGGCCGATCGAAAAATCGACCGTGTGCGCCAGGCCTTAACTTCATAAGTATTCGCATGGCTCAATCACGTCCTGGTTGAAGTTCGTTCGCTACGCTCACTCACCTTCAGGTTGGAAATCGTCCGCTGCGCTCACTTGTTTTCAGGTTAGCTCGTTCGCTACGCTTACTCGCCTCCAGGTTGATGTTCGTTCGCTACGCTCACTCACCTTTTGGTTGCAAATTATCTGTTGTCATACATTTAAAAAAAGTCATCCCTTTTATTGTTTATAATACAGTACTTTTATAAAGGTTTTATGTTTCAATATTTAACATTGGAGAATTTAAACGTTGTTAAGTGCACAGGTGTGCTGCGATTGGGGTTTAATACATTTGGACTTATTCAAAAGTAAAATAGTTTTCTGTGCTGCAATCTGTAGAAACACTGTGGCACTATTTCAAATCATGACTAATGCTAATACAGAATGTTGTAGTTATTCAAACGTACAAAACAGTTGGTGAAAGTAAACATCTGCTTTTAAATTATATTTATTTGTAAACATTCTAGATCAAAAA